TATATTATATCTTTTGCATCCCGAATATGTGTAAATGCAGAGTGTAATGAGAAGTTGAAATTTGTTTACTGCTTACTATTTTCACAAATAAAAAGCCTATTATTAAATTAGGAAATGTTAAGATCATGGCGAAGTGGGACAGCTTTGTCTGACAGACTGAAAAGAAAGCTTGGTGATATTATTTTTTAAATGGGAGCAATAACTGCCTATTGCGAACTTACACACCGTAAAACTATACATTTTGTTGCAAGTAGCTATGTCACAACTTAAAAATAGCATCAGAATAACCGTAAATTATAAAAGAAAAATAAGCTTAAATTATCAAATAAATTATCAGATTTAATCTAAGATAACTCAAATAGTTGTCACTTAATACTTTTTAAGTTGGCTAAACGTAACATTTTAACGCAGCATGAACACTTTACATTGAAACAATTTTTTAATGCAATTTGACTTTTAATCTTTAGAACAAAACCAATACATTTTAACGTATATAAATAAAAGGAACATCCAATTAAGATGTGTAATCACCAAAACAAATATTAGACAAAATTACAAAAATAAGGATGAATGAAGTTTAAAAGGTAACACGTCTTTTTCTTAGCAATATTAATAATATTAATAATAGTTGTACAAATAATTCAATAATATGAATATAATTGTTTTGACGCACCTTTGGATATTAGAGAGAAAAGGTGCTTTAACAGTAAGACGAACTAGACACTTTAGCTAATTCTGTCATGTGACACCAGATTTATTTGCGTAACTCTTTTTTTTTGCGACATTTGAATTTATGTGCTAAAGTTAAACAGAAAAACATTGTATCGACATTTCCCAAATATTATCGACAACTGGCAAAACAATTATTGGATGGAAAGTTGGAAACCTTTTAAACTGCAAAATAAAATAAAATAAAATAAAAAAAACTCAGTAAAAATAGAATATTAAGGAACTTCATGTATATTTTTATATATATATATATATATATATATATTTTTTTTTTTTTTTTTTTTTTGAAAAAAAAACCTGTATTTTAAATATGCATTGCATTAGGTTGTGTTTTACGGGTTAATTTCTGTAAAATTACTGGACAATGTCCAGGCATAAAATAACCAGTACATTTTCCATTTTTATTTTTCACAATGTTAGTGTGGACAGTCACTCATTTAGATCAGATTCCAATCGGATGAACAAATAATGGGATTTGGGCTGACAGCCAAAATCCAGTCAGATTTTCCTGCTAGATGGAACAACAAAACTTGGACTTACAAAATACTAAGACATTCTCCAAGCAAAATTAAAGTCAAATTTCCAATTATTTCACTCCAAAAATTATTCTGATAAAAACATCCGTCACTGTAAAAATGAATGAGACTGAATATGTTAAATCTAATCAATAAAATTGAGGCAAAATCTTACAATCAATGTTATAAATTAAATGTATCAAACAAGAATTGAGTAATAGTTCCAATTGAATTATCCAAATGAATTACTTAAAAGTTCACTCAAAAGTCAATTACCGTATTTTCCGCACTATAAGGCGCACCGGATTATAAGGCGCACCTTCAATGAATTACCTATTTTAGAAATTTTTTCATATATAGGGCGTGAGCGCGCTGGGGCGGGCACGTAACTCATATGTGTGGCGGCTCGCTGACAGCAACAGCTGGCTGTTTTAAATGAGACGACCCAGTTACTGTGAACGGGGAGCGCTTTATGAACATTGTGTGACGCGCAAGCAGCGCCGGGGACAGTGTGTCTGTTTGTGTATCTGTTAAGAGTGAGCGCTCGTGAGCGGGCACGTGACTTACACACATAACCCGATTTATACGAGGTTGAACTGGCCGTGTGACAGAGCGGTCATAAGATGGACACGAGCGCGAGTTCGCGGGCGGATTTAATAACGCGGAGCATTGTTAACTAACTATTGTTAACTTGATCCATACATAAGGCGCTCCGGATTATAACTGACACTGTCGTTTTCGGAGAAAATTAAAGGCTTTTAAGTGCGCCTTATAGTGCGGAAAATATGGTAAAATTAGTAGAATTGACAATTTTTTTATACAAAAGATTATGTTTTAAAATAATGATTATGTTAAAACACAACCAAGACTATCAGATCATCCCGTCATAACTCACGTACAGTCAGCAACCAAACAATTTTGAAGTAAATGATTTAGGGTCAAGAGGCCAACTAAAACACACACTGATCACCACAATGGTGACATATTACAGTTTTCTCCTTCAGTGATTCTGCTTGTTATCATCAGGTGTCTTAAAAATGGCAATAAAAAAAGAGTTCTTCATTCATCTTTGATGTCAGTCTGTTAATACGATATTTTTGTTAAGAATTGCTTTTAAGTAATCCATTTGGTTAGTTATTACTCAATTCTAATCTAATTTATAATATAGATTGTAATCTGTTGCCTCAATTTTATTGATTAGATTTAACATACTCAGTCATTTTCATTTTTACAGTGTATTTATCACATGAATAATAAACATAAGCACATGGTATTTCAATCCCAAAGTGTTTTGAATGGAGAGTTTACCAAGTGGAGATGAACAGAGGAGCATTAGCAGAGAGATGCTGCGCTGAAGAACCATTTCAGCTCCTACAAACAACAACAACAATGAGCAATTACACATTATTTTAGCTTTTGATAAGAATGTTAAACAGATAACCTTTACCTTTGGTAGCAAATGCTGAAAATAGCAAACTTGGATCTGATTCCGACAAACTTCACCCGAGGGAAACGAGGACATTTGGCTCTTTTAAAGGGTCATGGCTCTTTGACTATGACACGAATGTTATTACGCAAACAAAATATCTATAGACTATAGATAATGAGATTTTTAAAGATCTCAGCATTCATTTCATTGTTAAACATCACAACAGAGCAGTAATTACTTGCCGGGCTTTGACCCCTCACCCAGGCAAACAGGAGGCCGATCTAAAGTGCTTCACAAAGGCAGAGGACAAGGCCATACATGAGGACAATCACGGCACATCAGCAGACAATGTGGGGTTTAATTACATTTGATGGCATTGAGGGAGACAACTAGATGATTAAAAGAATAGCCTCACTTTTCATTGTCCTAAAGGCTAATGTTTTCACGATGAAAGCTCCACATCGAGACCTAATGCATTTTGATCAAAGATTAACAATAAAGGCCACATTTGGTGGTAGTCTTTGTCTATTCAAGTAAAAATTCAACTTTTAAACATTTCAAATCCATTAAAAAAAATGCTATTGAAAAATAATTGGACAACATTTTCTTAGTCCCACAGAAATCACATTTAACATCTACATCAGTGCGAAACCTGAAAGAGTTTTAACAGGATACCTCTAGTGACCGTAGACAATTAAGCATTCTGATTGGCCAAGAGTCTATAGTCTCTGACCGTAGACTACCAATCAGATCACAAAATTTCGAGTGTAGACAACCAATCACAGATTAGTTTATCCATGCGTCACACACATTTTTTACAGTCTATGGTCACACATCGGTAGCGAAGGCAAAGGTTTGTATTGGACGTCACATGATCTGCATAAAACCCCCCAAAATTAGTGATTTGGAAGTAGATCAATAGAGTGCCGAAGTGATGACGTCACTTTGTAGGAAGTTAGCGGCGCATGGGTTCCCTCGATCGAAAAGCAATGCATTTTCCCCTTAGACTTTTGGAAAATTGCAAAAACTAAGATCTATGTTCAACAAAGTGTTGTGACCCTTACACATTTTGTCTATCAAGGTAATCTTTACAAGTTAATCCAAAATGTATAAATTTTGAAGCTTATATAAAGTTTTTAAAAAACACAAGCAGACACAATAAAGTTTAAAAAACACAAGCAGGTTATAACTGTGTGTTCTGTCATAGATCAAAACGTGAAAATTTTGGGCTTTTTTTCACCACAGACCTTATTTCAGGCGATTTAGCAAAAACCCATTCAAAAATCCCATAGACTTTAGAGCGAGGGAACCGGGAGTGCTTAATGCTAACTCGTGAACTCAAATGCTATTATGAACTATGGTAAACATAAATTGCTCCTTTATTAATCTATGCAACTGGGATGCTTTAAAAACACTGAACAATACATAGAAAAAATATAAAACATTAAAAAGTAGGCTATTATATAAACTCAGTAACCAGCAGTAACAAAATAAAGTCACTATATTAATATTGATTTCAAGACAATAACAGACTGAAAGACATTTCAAACATTAAGAAAACGGTTTACAATTCAGAGTGTTCCTGTTATTAGGAAACAAAATAATGTTATACACTTGACAGCATGTTATAATCATAAATGCATAACCGCTGTTTTTCAATTATGTATTACATTTGAGTAACGAGTGGAACGTGATTATTATAGAGACATTTTATTGACAAATGCTGTTAATTTGACTTAACCATTAATGTCCATATCCATGTAAATGAAAGGATAGCAATTCATATTTTTACACATTAATTTTTACAATAGAAACAGTCAATCATAATGTACGAACACTGAACCAAAACTTGCAATGGTCAAGTATCACCTTAGCAGAGCCACATGGCTCTGCACCTTAGCAGAACCACCATCATGAGAAGATTCATGTTTCCGTCTCAATACGGCTCTGGCACCTCCCAATGAAACAAGATGTTCATATTTTAAGCACTCGATAATAAGATTATTGAAACACAGATCGAAAGAAAAGGTTAGACAAGTCACCCTTTTGGGATACACTATTTGAAATATACTATTTGAAATATATTGTTTTATTATTAAAAAGCAACCGTAAAGTATATCACACGTCATTGTCCACATCACTTCCGGGAAATTTAAACAAGGGGTGGGAAAACCGCAAACAAACCATAGAAACAAACTCGCACGCAGTAACAACATAACTGAAGAAAGATTTACAGCCAATGATCGAAACAGGTTTCTTTTCAAAATAGTTGATATTATAAACATGTACGTGAGCGTGTTGCGTTTAAAATAGTCCGCCAGAGGGCAGCAGAAGCGCTCATTCATCCTAAAACCAACGAGGAAGAGTCTCAGTCAGCTGAGCTGTTGTGTTGATGAACTGTCTGTGATACACACATGCGAACTCGAGTTACAACAGATTTACTTATAAGATATTCTTGAGAACAAACCTGTTTCGATCCGAGTCACTTCAGCAGGGAAATGTCGTGACATATAGAAAGATTTGCGCTTTTCTAAGAGAGAGCATATAGCAGCTATATAAGTAAACAAAGAAATGTTCTCCGTAAACAGTGAGAAATGAGCAGAAAGCGAGCGCTGATCGCAGATACTTTCTGCTTAAAGAGACGCAGATCCGCAGCTGACACTGTTGCCGGAGACAGTCACGGTAAGATCTGTCATTTACCCCCTCATGCAGATCAAAAACACTTATCATTAAATAGACATTATAAAGTAATGTGTCAGTTAACGTCTATCCTCCTTAAAATATGACTTCTGGTAGGCTCCAGATATAAATGTGGATTCATGCAATCAATTTCACTGATTTAGTACACCATTACTCGGCCAATCTTGTCTAATCTTAAACTGCTTTTGTGAAAATGTGACTGACGGATAACACCTGTCACTCACACAAGATCCACCAACAGCAAACCACAACCATCCAATCAAAAATCAAGCCCCGCCCTACTTTTAAGTCAAATTGAAATATAATGTATGAACACATGACTCTCTGACCAGTAATTTTAATGGTTTTGCAAGCATCTTACTGTATGTAAATATATTAATATGGCACGATACACATGCTATTACAGGCTTCAAATACTACACTCCACTCTGGTTTCACAGACAGGGTTTAGATTAAGCCAGGATTAGGCCTTAGTTTAATTAGGGCATTTAAGTAGCTTTTATAAATGTGTCTTAGAAAGAAAAAAAAAACATATTTGTTGTGCATCTTGAGACAAGACAATGGTTACAGTTAAACCAGTTAATTTTACTCTGGGACTATCATAATCCTCTGTCTGTGAAACCTGGGGCCTGTTTCTGAGTTAAATGAAGTCATACACAAATGTGTGAATCTGAAGTAATGAAATAAAGGTGTGTGTTCAGCAGAAGGAGCAGCTGATATCCGCTCAAGCTTGCAGAACCTCATGACACTGTTCTCACGCAAACTCTTCAACGACAGTCTCCCTCCAGTGGTCCTGAAACACCAGCTGTACAGTTTACACAGCGACAAAACCTCCGTGGACAAGCAGCTGGTGAGATCCGCTTGTTCTAATGTATTCATTCCCGCAAAGCACTGATGATTTAATAATGACCTTAGCACAGTCATGATTTATGTGGCAAGTAGCACATCTTTCCTTTAAAAACTTCAACCTTCATCCTTCCCTCTCGGATTAAAACTACCCGAAAGCCATAAAATAATGTGTTGTTTTCCTTTTTCAGAAAGCTAATTTTATTTCATTTTGATAATATTTTTGTCTTTTTAATGAATTTTTTTGGGGAGATAAAAATACAGACCATTTTGCAAGATGTAAACAACACTGGTCCAGAAACTGTTTCAGTTTGTAACTGTTTTCTTTATTTCACATGTAAAGAAAACCTCTTAAAGATGTTTGTTTAACTTTTTGATTCAGTTTTATATGTTCTGTTGGTTGTATTTTATCCCAGCTTTTATGTAGTGTTAAAAAACTGAAACAGGAAGTGCTTCTGGATCAGTGTTGTTTACATCTCGCAAAATGGTCTATATATATATATATATATATATCAGTGTTTCCTCTAGGATTTTTCCAAGCTGTGGGGGCAGGCCCATTTCCCCTGGCCCGGGGGGGGTTTGGGGGCTGATATTTTCACTTAGGCCACGCCCCCTTGTCTCCCCAAAGTATTATAATCGATCATGCGCATCCCGTGTGCAGAATGATGCACTTGAAGCAACACCAAGTCACAGCACGCAACGCTTCACATTGAAAAGAACATAGCGAAGGGATTAGATCTATAATATGCTTAGTAGGGCTGCACGATTTGGGGAAAATGTCATATTGCCATTACTGAGGTCAATATTGCAATTGTGATATGCGATTCCGATATAATAAAATGCTTTCATGAGTCCAACTTGCTTGGTTCTAAAGTAAAATGCACACACAGCTTAGTGATCATTCTGTGTATTAATGTTTATTTCTCAACTCAAACTAAAAACAACAACTAAATGATTGATAACACCTATAATGATCAATAAACCAACCAAACCATCATTACAGTGAAAGCTTATCAACTTTTTAAAAAAAATTATTAGGCTAAAAAAATTTTAACAACTTTTAAATTAAGTGAACTTCAAACAATCCCCACATAAACCCATAATAAAAACCATATTTACCTGTGCCCTTCCTGTCTTAACAGGTAGGATACAGAAATTGAATAAAGTTATCAAACAGTCTGCGCTGCATGAATTATAAATTATATATAGAATAATCCTTATTAAAGCTACAAAAGTTCTTTAGTCAAGATCAGTGAGTAATTTTCTAATTTCCCTTTGTTCTTTTAACTTGACTGACAGAACGCTTTATTCGCTGCTGGCGCTTTAAGAGCACCCGTTGCCGAGACGCGGATCTCACATGCGCCTCATAGCACAACTCTTTTCATCCACAGACTTTTCTTACGTTATGAAGATACTCGACAAAACGACATTTTGGCATAATTGTGTGTGTTATTGTTCGTTCAAGCTCGAAAGAGAACTGTAATCTGGCACGCGTCAGTGCATGCGCATTATGGCGCGCGTCTTTCTGCGAGTCTCATTTAGGGCATTCACAGGCAGCTTTTCACTTCTTGTCGTGAAAAATGCGAAAAGGCATTTGCACGAATAAGAGTAAGATCGTGTAACACTAGTCAAAGGATGACAAAAAAGAAGAGATGCTGCGCTAATAGCCCTAATTTGTTTATTTCATATAAAATCGCGGCATTTTGCGTTATATAATTGCATAGGTTTTAGATCGCTATTACGATTGCGATTTGATTAATCTTGCAGCACTAATGCTTAGTGTATTCTATATGCAACAGTTTTTTGAGCCTTTTCTTTTAACAGTTTTAAATTTCAGTGCGCATGAAGAACAATAGCACTCTCTCGACTCCATGCTGTAATCTCACATACACCCGGGAGAAGGGAATGTGAAAGGGCAATAAACTCCACTCCAGCAAGATAAAGTCATTTTATGAAAACCATCTACTTTATGCTTTATCTACAAATAAAGTATAATAATGGGAATATTGACCTTGAAGAGAGTGTCGTCGTGTCGCAAACGAACGCGACGCGCTGTGTGAATTCTGAATGAAGAATGACTGAGGCGAGATGACTTTCCGTTAACTTTAACTTAGCGACTAAAATTACACATTATACAATGACTTTAGAAGTCTTGGAATATAGGGTGAAAACTTGATTGTGCTTTACAAAGTTTTTTATGCCTTTAGTGGGGCTTAACAAAATAACATAATACTCGCCACGCCACGGGAGAATGAATGTAGAGGAAACACTGTATATATATATCTTTAAATGATCTTACATGCCCAATCTTACATTGGGTGTCTTTGCCGACCTCTAATAATAATAATTTTGTAAAGTTTTAGCATTTTTAGTTTGAATTTTGAGCATTTTTAGGGTTGTCTATGTGTACTGAAGCAGTCCTTGCATCTCATTCATTCCTAAGAGGATCAAATTGACCTGTGAGGGAAGGATTTGTGACTTTTTTTTACATTTCAACCACAAAACTCCTCAAATCCAATTAAGGATGAAGTTTAAAGGAGTAGTTCAATTTAAAAAAAAACTTTTTCTTATAATTTACTCACCCCCATGTCATCCAAGATGTCCACGTCATTCTTTCTTCAGTCGAAAAAAAATTAAAGTTTTGGATAAACATTCCAGGATTTTTCTCCATATAATGGACTTCAATGGGAACCAAACGGTTCAAGGTCCAAAAGACAGTTTCAGTGCAAACTACAAACTGTTAAAGGCTTTAAACGATTCCAGACGGTGAATAAGGGTCTTATCAAGTAAAACAATCGCTCATTTAATAAATAAAGAACAAAGTTTAAGTTTTATAAGCTCAAATGCTCGCCTTGCTCTGTTCTGTGTGACTCTCCTGTTTGAAGTCGTTCATCAAAATGAACAAATCTTTTTCTGAGTCAATTTGTTCATTTCGTCCGTTGAATGAACCAAATGACACGAAAAAAGATTCGTTCATTTTGATAAACGAGTTTGAACAGGAGAGTCACGAACACGCAGAGATCACAGAACAGAAACTATCTTTTGGACCTTGAACCGTTTGGTTCCCATTGAAGTCCATTATATGGAGAAAAATCCTGGAATGTTTTCATCAAAAACCTTAATTTCTTTTCGATTGAAGAAAGAAAGACATGGACATCTTGGATGACATGGGGTGAGTAAATTATCAGCAGTTTTTTTTTTAAAGTGAACTACTCCTTTAACTAAGTCACAGGTAGATTTGTCTTGGCTAACCGCTAGCTGGTCATGCTAGCTCTTAACAGTGTTTCTGCAACTGGTTTCTCCTTTTTCTGCTCAGAATGAGTTGAGGGCGAGCGGCGAGCTGTTGATGTTCCAGCTGGGCTTCGACTCGGAGGCTTTTGCGCTGGTGTTTGCTAAAGACTACAGAGCCAAAGTCCTGCAGGGCGAAGCCGGAAGAGAAACACTGGAAACAGTGGAGAAATTCCTGGATAAACTAATTCCCGGCTGCTCCGATCTGAGCTTCAACAAAGAAAAGATGCTAAAGGAGTTCCTCTTCACGGACTCTGAGATCACGTAAAGAAATCCTGCTAAGTTGTTCATTAGCCGTGTTTCCACTGTCGGGCCAGTGCGAGCCGGGGCTGTAAACGGGCGGGGCGGGGCTAATAGCCTCGGACCTGGAGCACCGAGCCCAAAACCTGCTGCGTTTCCACCGTCGGGCCCGAAGCTCCTCAGCGCTTCACTAAAACCCACCCGTAACACACCTCTCTGGAACAACGTCGCACTAGCCCTTCATTTCACCAACAAATAGAAGTTTTTATCAGAAAACTAATCAGAAAGAAATCACTGGAAACAGCGAGATCGCAAAACGAACATGATAAAAGCAACCGTTTGCTGGTATTCTTTGTTGTTTACTTAAAAACCGAAGCTTACATTTTTTTACCACAGGTTTTCTATAAAAAGTGATACATTAATCATAATGAATTAATTTGTGTCAAGACTGGACATTAGTCTCACTGAAATAAAGTGGTTTATCTTTATTTTACGGAACACTTAGTCAGTCTGTTCTGTTTATTTAGTCACAGGACATTATATTTATATCACATTAAGAAAGAATGATCATTTCTACAAATATGCCTCCAAAAATACAACCTGAGCCGTTGGCCTGATCAAGCCCTGGAAGTGAAAGTGGAAACGTGACTGGCACTGGACTAGCACACCCAGTTTTAGCCCGACAGTGGAAACACAGCTACACTGTAAAACAAGTTAAGCTAACTCATTTCATTTTGAGGAAACCGATTGCCTCAATGCAATTAAGTTTATAAAAAACAATAGTTGTGAGTACTCTGAACTTATTTTAACTGAGTCAACTAAAACAATGATATTTCTCAATACACAATTAAACTTTACACTGCATTTACACTAACCCTAACGCAGCTACACTGTAAAACAAGTTAAGCTAACTCATTACATTTGAGGAAACCGATTGCCTTAATTACTGTCTCAGGCACTTTATCTAAAGATGGTTTCTGTTTGCAGGCAGCTGGTGAAGTCCGGCGTCCTCACGGTGAGGGACGCGGGCAGCTGGTGGCTCTCAATCCCAAACTCTGGCAAATTCATTAAGTACTTCATCAAGGGTAGGTGTGTTTACCAAAAGACTCATGATCAGTGCTTTAACAATTACTGCATTATATCTGATTTTATAACAGGGCGCAAAGCTGTTCTTGCCATGGTGAAGAAATCCAAATACGGTGAAATCCTAAAGACTGAACTTGAGGGACGCCGCACAACTTCACATGTTAAATTCCAGATGAAGTATCATATTCATGATATAGTTGGAGCAGAGTTAGTAGAATGGTAAGAGCGCTGTATGAAACAATACATTTGAGTTGTAATCTGATGACTGATTATTGTTCTGTTTGTTTGTAGCATACAGACAACATCAGGGACAGTATTAAGATACGTGGACGGAAACATCAACTAACAGCTTCACCGAACTTGCCTTTGATTGTACAGTATTGAATAAACTGTATTATGTATTTATTGCCATATTATTTTTGGTTACAAACAGCAGAATGAATTGTGCAAAATATATTTAATAAAAGTTTGCCAAACTGCAATTGTCAAATGAAGTTTTTTTTTTTTCTGCTGACTTTTCCCACTCTGAAAAGCATTAAATGACTGATAGACAAGAACGGTTTGACCTAAAAATATCAAAATTGAAAATACTACGGAAACAAAGACAACTACATCTTGGATGCCCTTGAAGTTAGCTAAAACATACCAATAATTAATTTCAAAGTGCATTTAAGTGCATTTTTTGTTTTTGTAATAGTGTTTACCAAAGCACATATTTGTTATAAAGAAAACAATAAACAAAGGTGTTCAGGTGAAGTAGTTCATAATAATAAAAAAATGGTTCTATAATCTTATCCTTGACCAAAAGTTGTCATTTGCTTTTAATAAATAACTTTCATCTTTCTTGACACAGATCAGACATTCTGAATTGTAACATACATTACATTGTGTTTGAAAATCTTTACTATTTTTTTTCCAGAAACAAACAGACATCAAGAATCAGAATATGAATCTTATGGTCATGCAATTGTGACTGCTTGTGAATGCATGCTTGGAGCTGAGAGTTTTAAACTATGGTGCCTCCCAGGATGCATTGCGGCATAAAGCATTTCACCATTGCTGAGATTCATATGTGGATTCTTGATGTCTGTGTTTTTATCCAAAGAATACTTTCCCAGTATTAAAAAAATCAGCTAGATGTCAGGTCTGCTTAAACGTAAATTGATGTTGTTGGGGAAAAAAAAAATACATTTCTCTCACTGCGGCAGAAGTGATTTCAGCTACTGGTCTAGCACCAGTTTACAGAGTAAACTTCTTTTCTCATTGATGCCTGTGGGTTTCTTAATGAAATAATTCCTACTATTTAAAAGACAAATTTCATAATATCTGATCTATTGCAAGACATTACAATACAACATTTTACAAAACATTTTACAAGAATGACATCACCATAACCTCCACTTCATCTTCATAACCAAATATGTGTTTTGGTAAACATTGTTGCAAAGACCATTAATTCACATAAACAGCTAAGTGTCAAACTGACCAACTAAATGAAACACGGATCACCATAATGGTGACCAATCATGTCAATAAAACATCAACATCTAAACCTCTGTTAAAGGAGTAGTTCACTTTTGAAAAAAACTTTTGCTGATAATTTACTCACCCCCATGTCATCCAAGATGTCCATGTCTTTCTTTCCTCAGTCGAAAAGAAATTTAGGTTTTTGATGAAAACATTCCAGGATTTTTCTCCATATAATGGACTTCAATGGGAACCGGATGGTTCAAGGTCCAAAAGATAGTGTTAATAACAGTTTCAGATGCAGCTTCAAATGTCTTTAAACGACACCAGACGATGAATAAGGGTCTTATCATGCGAAACGATCGGTTATTTCAAAACTTATTCCAAAAATGTAACTTTTCTAAGGACAAATGCTAGCCTTGCTCTATTCTGTGAGGCGCGTTTGCAACGTCACGTAATACGTAATTACGTTCAAAAGGTCACGGTCGGGCGACGTAGCCGAAAGTACAGAGTCAGTGTTTACAAGTTGAACGTGCAAACTAACTCAAACGCCGTTTCCAAAAAAAGGAATTAAAAGGAAAAACAACGATGTCGGACGATTTTGATTCTGTACTTCCGGCTACGTCTCCCGTGACCTTTTGAACGTAATTACGTATTACGTGACGTTACAAACGCGCCTCAGAGAATATAGCAAGGCTAGCATTTGTCCTTAGAAAAGTTACATTTTTGGAATAAGTTTTGAAATAACCGATCGTTTTGCATGATAAGACCCTTATTCATCGTCTGGTGTCGTTTAAAGACATTTGAAGCTGCATCTGAAACTGTTATTAACTGTCTTTTCGACCTTGGACCATCCGGTTCCCATTGAAGTCCATTATATGGAGAAAAATCCTGGAATGTTTTCATCAAAAACCTTAATTTCTTTTCGGCTGAGGAAAGAAAGACATGGACATCTTGGATGACATGGGGGTGAGTAAATTATCAGCAAAAGTTTTTTCAAAAGTGAACTAATCCTTTAATTCTCTATAAGAACTTCTACAGCCGCATGATAGAAATAAAGTCAGTCTGATTAGTAATGAGTGAAGCTGTTGATGCTGTTTGTGGAGTTGTTCATTCCTCCTTTGCTGAGATCTTCAGAGATTTAATGTCTTTTTTTCTCTTCATCTAATTTAATTTAGTTGTATTTCGTGTGTTTCTCTTTCATTCTGTGATTCTGCTAACAGCAGGTGTTCTTCACTAATGCTCAATAATTTAGGAGTCTAAACATTTATGTACTGTCAATCATCATTATGAGTGTACTACCATATCTGCAACAATTTGTCATCCCGTAGACAAATTCTTCCGGCAGCCCTCCTCCCTTTCTCCTCCCTTTCCCAGAAATTAATGGGAAATTTACTTCCGGCACCAACGCTCTCTCGGGCTGTGGGCGGGACTGTGATGCTCTATTCTTCCAGCAGCCCTCCTCCTCCTTTTCTCCTCCAGTGTTGCTGACTTACAGTGTATAAATATGACCAAATGACTGACATATGTTCAAGAGTGAAGACTTATCCGACAGCAGAAGTATCTCAGACACTTTTCGCTATTAAACATGATGCACCTACACTGGCTTATGTGTTTGCTGATCTTGTTGGGTAAGTAAATATTAATGATAACACTTTACAAAAGGAACCTTTGGTAACATTAGTTCATGACAGTAAATGACAACAAATAAGAAAATTTTTACATGAATTGTTAATCTAGATCATTTTCTACCAACCGTTACATCCCTTCATTTTTTTTAAAGTCTAGGAAGTTAGAAGGGGAACATATATCACCTGTCAAAATTTGTACTTTTTACAACAATATTTACTTAGCATTCTTACAGAGCAACTAAAAGGATCTTTGCAAAAATAAAAAAAAAAATATGCAGACTTTCGTGTGTGCATGAGAAACCATTAAACTTAGCATAGATAATGCACACTGTTGCACCATCAGCCCATTTCACTGTGTGGTTTCTTGGCCGCAATAGACTATGTGTTTAAAGGAGGAATGTATGATTTTTAGCGACATCTAGTGGTTCGGTTGCGAGTTTGCACCAGGTTTGCACTAAGGGCTCAGCCCACTGCTCACCCCTCCCTTTCGAAGAAGCTACGGTTGCTAAAACGGGACAAACATCTCGTCGGCTGAGACAGCAGAGAATAGCCAGAGTAAGCCAAGAGTGTGTAACATTGTCACTGTTTCTGTACCACAGTCCATTATAAACCACATCATGAATACTGTCTGTTTACAAAGCCATAGTCAGGTGAGGATCAAGGGTTTTAATATATAATTTAATATAATAATATTAATCAGCTGATTGTCTCACAAACGTAACCAGCAGCACATTTATCCCCACATACTGTAGCAAACCCATAATACAGCGAGGGAGCAGCTATATATTTTTTCTAACAGGGTAGTAATAGTTTAGCTGGCTAATATGAGCTGTTACTGTGGCTGAGCTGGGACTCGTCCGCATGAGTCCAAAGGTCGGAAGTGCGCGCGCTGTTACAATCATGTCATCTCCGCATCCCATAAATACTATTTACTACACACAATAGGCTTTTTTGTCTGATTTTGAAAACTCTTCGTGATCGACTTTAGTGATCTAAAAGTCTCTATCGACGGGTTAGTGATTCCTGTAACGTACTGTTTTACGGTCAATGACATGAATACTAATCATCAGCTGTCTCACGAACGTAACAGCACATCTATCCCCAACAAAACAAACCCATAACACAGCGAGGGAGAACTAAGTTACACGAAACAATCCCAACTACATATTTTACACTACTCACAAAGGAAAAGTCACTACTCACGGAGTGTAAGGCTAGCTTCCAGCTTTCCGCTACTTCTCTTTCAAGGTAGTGATGAAACGCGTTCTGTAGCGCTGTGTGTTCGCGTTCGGCTACGGTAGGAATATGACGTCACAACATGGCGACCTTCATAGAAGGGGATTCCCGCGGTTATGGAGCTATTAATGTCTCATTCTAAGGTAATAAAAACATTACGGTTAATTAAGTAAGTTCTTTATACACCACTGAAAACATAGTTATGGATGTCATATTGCATTTCTATTAATAGATACTCAACTTTTTTACACATTGCACCTTTAAGGTATACTCCACCCAAAAATGAAAATTCTGTCATCATTTACTCACCCTCAAGTTGTTGCAAACCTGTGTGAGTTTCTTTTTTCTCCTGAACACAAAGGAAGATATTATGAAGAACGATTGGAACTTTGGCACCATTGACTTCCATAGTATTTTTTTTAGTGCCAAACAACTGTTTGGTTCCAATCATTCTTCAAAATATCTTCCTTTGTGTTCAGCAGAAGAAAGAAACTTGAGGGTGAGTAAATTATGACAGAATTTTCATTTTTGGGTGGAGTATCCCTTTGAAGCAGACCTAAGGCCTTGAATGTACTGACCTAATGAAAGCCACATTTTGACCAATTAAAAAAAAAAAAAAAATAGCACCATAGACCCTTGAACTTGGAAAATAGGACAATGCACTCAGCCATTAGTACATTGTGAATGTAAAGAAAATGTTTTTTCAAAATATACTTTTACATGCATATATTTAAAAAAAACCCTGAGTTTAAAAAGTTTGCGTGCTTGGAGAATATATTCTGCTGTATTACAGAATGTCTCTTATGCACAGGGTGGGTGTTTGATGCTCAAGTGACGGATGCTCATGACTGCAGTGATGTTGAATATGCTGAAGCTAGAAAGCGTCTATTTGAACATCTCGGCATGGACAAGAATGACCAACAAAATCAGAAAAGCAGAATGTGGCCCTTGATATTCAACAAATATGACTCATACTACAGTTCCAACCCTGCTGAGATTTATGTGGACCTGTATGTGACCTCCATCATAAAAGTGGTATGTGTCCAGCATGATTAATCTCCTCATTCAAGTCATTATGGGATGTCTAGCAGTTGCAATATCATCTCTCAACACATCTTTTATCTACAGGATGAAAAAGCCCAGAGTCTCACGACACAGGTCAAAATACTAACAGTAAGCGTCTTAAAAAAATATTTTCTTCTTATTTTTCTTAAATTTACTTAAAGGTGCTATATGTATTTTTTAGCTGCCTCCCTCAGTGATTGCGCTTGTGTGACACACTGAGACTTTACACACTCCGGAGAAAGCATCACAGGCTGGAAACTCATGCAAACTGCAGCGTTACAATAATAAGCTACTGTTAACAGCTCAACGTTGAACTAATGCTCCATGCTCGTACCATGATAACGTTACATTTGTGCTGTTATCTAGCATAAGGCATTTCACAAACTATTCGTGTATCTTTTACAATCAGCAATGTCAACAATGTCAAGTGAATGTATAATATGATAACGAAAACGGTTAGTGAACTAGACTGAACAATTTCAGTGTAACAGTAAGATCGTAGGAATTGACATTACTGTACTGAACGTGTCTGGAAATGTGTATTATAAACAATATGAGAGTAGTGGGATGAGTGACGTTAGACAGTAGATCTAGTACAGAAAATAAAAGCTACATCCTAAAGCACCGACTTTTTGTTATTCTGGAACAGTCTTTTGTGTTCATTTCATGTCTCATATGTTGTAGTTTACCTTGCTATTTATTACAGTTTTCTATTATTTCTTTCAGCATATCATAAAAACTTGTAATTTATCACAATAAAAATAGCGGAGGTCTCTCCATAATTCAAACGCTCTGTCGACATTGATCCGTGTTTTCACTCATGTCCTTAGCTGCAGTGCCGTCGCATAGACTGTACGTATATAAAAGGAGAGAGGCTCTGGAGCGCGCATGCACGTCACATCTGATGGATTTCGCAGAAAATCCGACCTGGAGACTTCATAGAAATATGAATACTGGCCTTCAGAGGGAATAGCAAAACCCGACAAGTGGATCATTGTAATTTGTGATTATAACCCCTTCACACACAGGCAATAGAAAAGGGATTCATTTCAAGAAGAAAAGTTACATATAGCACCTTGAATTTACAGAATTTTGTCACATGATCAGAGGTTTTATTTGATTTTAAAGCATGCAGTGTCTGTCTTGTAATCACTGTGACCTTCTCTGTAACTATATCTTTTCCAGTCTTGGCCAATTTGGGATTTGGAGTGGGATGACACTGAATTTTGTGGAATTGACACATTTGTTGCCCCTAAAAATATGTTTTGGACTCCGGATATTGGTATAGTGGAAAGGTATAAAAATTACTTCTGTCAGAACCTTTTAATTTGGTTACAAAATGATGGATAGAATAAGGGTAATGGTATGACAAAATTGAAATGACAAAACAGATCCAAAGACTTTTTTCATACTGCACATTAAACAGCTTTTTATTTGTCAAAGCAGATCTTTAGGATTGATTGTTAACATTATGATTTTGAAATCAATACAAAATCTGAAGATACTTGGAAACGAAATGAGACACATTTGCAGACTCTTTCATTCAAATGAATATTTTCACTAACCTGACAGATGGCACTAAGGCTATGTTTACACAGAAACGATCTGAAGAGAAAAAAAGTGGCTTTGCGTTTTCACTTTTTGTTACGAATAAAGGCTGGCCACACAATCGCGTTCAGGTGGTCCTTTTATAGTTCCCGCATCTCCTGATGATCCCCGTGATTGGATCGCTCTTTCCCTCCTCTCTGATAAAAAGCCTCAGGGATCAGCCAATGACCGTAACCAGGACAACCAATCAGCGCTTCTCTGCGAAAGAGAAAGTAACACGGCAGAAACACGAAGAAACACAGAGACACCCAAAGTCGCAATCTTATGTAATCGCCTTTATTCGTAACACTTTTTATTCTGCGTGTAGACGAGTGTAATGGTTGGGAAATCTGCGTTTATATGGTGACGCAAAAGTGTGTAAATTTCGATGTAGTATGCCCTCCAGGCGGCTAGGTGCCGATGTGAAGCGCTGCCCCACAAGGTAACACTTTATAATAACTGCATGCTATTAATCATTAGTTAAGCATGAGTAAACAGTTAATTCATCATTTATTAAGCATTAATAGACATTAACAAGCAGTTTATAAATACAGCTATAAATGCTTTCCTCTTGATTTATAAGCATATCTTTAATGCATTTAATAATTGTATTTTCATACTTTGTTAATGATCAAGTAATCATTTCTAAATTAAGTATAGCATTTTTTACAAACCAGTTAATTAAGAGTTGTCAGTCCTTCATAAGATCACTTAGAAAGTGTAAGTAAATGTAGTAAATATAGGCTGTTATAAAGCATTTAGTAGTGGTCAGTTAACTATTTTGTGAGCTCATCTAAAGTGAGGACTATTCATGCTTTGTAAAGCATTTATAAAGGAGATTTAAAGGCGCATCAATCTTCTAAACAGTAAAATGTAACAAACACAACACAGTGATACAGAACATAGAGATATTTAACAGCCTTTAAATCTCCTTTATAAATGCTTTACAAGGCATGAATAGTCCTCACTTTAGATGAGCTCACAAACATAGTTAACTGACCGCTACTAAATGCTTTATAACTACCCTAATTTACCCTGAATTACAGCATAAATACATGTTAATAAAGCATTTATTAACACACTCAGTAACCATCACTATATGTCTGAATGATAAGATGTATGAATGTACAATTTAAATAGTTTATTAATCATTTACTTACACGCTCTAAGTAATCATATGAACCACTGAAAACTTTTAAATAGCTGGTTCATAAAAAAATGCAATTCTTCATTTAGAAATGATAAATTGATTATTAAAAAGGATGAAAATAGAATTATTAAACAAATTATAGATATGGTTTTAAATAAAGAAGAAAGCATTTATAGCTGTATTTATAAACTGCTTATTAATGTCTATCAATGCTTTATTTAAGATGAATTAACTGTTTACTCATACTTAATTAATGATTATTAGCGTGTAGTTAGCACCCAAGCATTATTAATGTTTTTTACGAAAGGCCAAAACACATGAAAAGGTTTACTTTTTTACTTGAAACCGGTGTTATGTAAACAGTCCCTTAGGCTGTGGTTGAAGTCAGTTGTAGTTCTTGTGTTTCTATTCCCTTCAGTGCTTCTGCTTATTACGATGTTAGGGTTAGAATTAGCATGTGTTCTTCACTGAGGCTATGTTTTACACGGAAACGATTTGAAGAGAAAGCGCAAACGTGGCGTTGTCATCACTTTTATTTCTGCGTTTAGATGAGCCGTATACGTGGAAATCCGTGTGCATATGGTGACGCAAAGGTGTGCAGTTGATGTGGTATGCACTCCAGGCGGCAAAACCACACCAATATCTGAGAATATTTTGTACAACTGTTGAAAAGACTCATTTATCAGAGCTGCTAGGGCAACTTGAAGGTCCGACGTACTGTATGGAACTAATCCAAAATGTTGGCACATGTCTGTGACGTAAACACGTATGTGACGAGAGCCACCGTGAGCAGATTTGCGTTTTTACCTTTTAGACGGGAACGCCCTTAAATTTTCCACTCTGGAGGGTGGTTTCACTTTTTTACGTTTTTAAGCCCCAAAAACACAGTCGCCATGTAAACCAAAGGCACATCCGATAAAATATTTTTACGTTTTCACCTGGAATCGTTTTCATGTTTCTTTTTGTTTATTTCTTTGTAACATTGAAAAAAGCTTCCATAAAGTACAGTTCGCTTTCGTAGTCACTCCGAGTTACATCAGATGACGGAGAATGGGGGTTTCGCCAAGAAAGCCAATCCTCTTCAAGTATTAAAAAACGAGCCAATGGCAAAGAAATGCCATGGGTCTGCGTAATTTGCATAGCGTATCTCCGCCTCACCCCGTGATTATAAAACGAGGAAGCTGAGGCAACCGCAGTATGTTTTTCGCTTCGGAGCCAAAATAACTTCTTCACTCCACAAGCCACACAATCTGAGTTTACTCACCTCTTCGAGACGAGCGAACTCTCTGGTGTTGGTGTGACGGCGGTACCCAGCGTGTTTCACATTGCCTGCGATCTGAGCAGTGGTCTGCCAGTGTGTGTGTCTCTCCCTGGTCGCTTCAACGTCTGCTGAGTTTTCTCCTCTCACTGAAAGAGTATGCACGCGACACGTCTTTTTAAAGACGATCTGCCCGTGTATTCCTGAGTGCGGTATTCTGATAGAGTCAGCTGATGGGCGTGAGCGCTGTTTGACGTGTTTGGGCTTTGATCATGCTCAAACAGCGCTCGTGGGTGTGTCATGTTCTCTCAGTGGGAAATGTTCTCTCTCAGTTCTACCAGAAAGACTCGGGAGATAAATTGAATAGCAGTATACATTTATTGACAGCTCAGCAAGCATAAATTTATGAGTTCTTTGGCGTAGGCCCCGTCCTTAGCGAGCATAGCGAGGTTAGCCGAATCTGCATGTCCCGCCTGAGATGAAGGCGGGGGCGCAGCCGACCCCCAAAGAGAAGTGGAAGAATAATTCCACAACGACGGAGCCCACCCCCAAAGAACTGTAAATAAATATACCCACCAGTCGTGGATCCTGGGGTTCCTGAAATGAGAGAAGAATACAGATAAGATAATATTTATTTACGAAATTATTTATTTATACACTTATATTTATTGTATAAAACCGGTAGACAAACACAAGGTCAGCTTGACCACAGGCTGTGATAAGACCACATGAACGCAATGTCAGCTTAACCACAGGCCATGATAGGCCACATAAACACAGGGTCAGCTTGACCACGATCTTGATAGACCACATAAACACAAGGTCAGCTTGACCATAGGCCATGATAGACCACATAAACACAAGTTCAGCTTGACCACAGGCCATAATAGACCACATAAACACATAGCGAGCTAGACATAGACACGGCCATGGAGCCACATGAAACCAAGACCACTAGAGGTCACTAGGCCACGATGGACCTTAAAGGACAAGGTCACAGTAGGCCACACGGCCATGGGAGACCACAGAGACGAGACCGCTTAGGAGCCACACTGGCCACTAATGCCACATGAAGACAAACCTATGAGACAGAGCTGCTAAGCCACACAGAAGGTCGCAATGGACCACAAACCATGGATGGCCACATGTAGGACAGGCTTCAAAAGGCCGCAGAGCCCCTAGAAGCCACACATAACAAGCTAATCATAGACACGGCCATAGGGCAACATAAAACCAAGACCACTAGAGGTCACTAAGCCACGATGGACCTTAAAGGACAAGGCCACAGTAGGCCACACGTCCATGGGAGACCACAGAGACGAGACCGCTTAGGAGCCACACCGGCCGCTAATGCCACATGAAGACAAACCTATGAGACAGAGCTGCTAAGCCACACATAAGGTCACGATGGACCACAGACCACGGATGGCCACATGTAGGACAGGCTTCAAAAGGCCGCAAAGCCCCTAGAAGCCACACATAACGAGCTAATCATAGACACGGCCATAGGGCCACATAAAACCAAGACCACTAGAGGTCACTAGGCCACGATGGACCTTAAAGGACAAGGCCACAGTAGGCCACACGGCCATGGGAGACCACAGAGACGAGACCGCTTAGGAGCCACACCGGCCGCTAATTCCACATGAAAGACAAAATCACGAAACAAGGCAGACAGACCAGACAGACCAGGCCACGATGGACCGTACTGACAAAGCTATGATCGCCTGCACGGACCACGGCTAAACTAGTGGCCGAGGAGGATCGCATAAAGACAGAAGTCAAGCGGGACACCGCGGGACAAGACAAACACAGAGACGAGTATGAAGGGGCTTTATCAGATAGATAGATAGATAACAGTAGATAACGTTGTACCACCACCACCAGTAATTGCGAGAGGATTTACCTGGATTATTGATGGAGAGCTTGCTGGGCTTCATTGATCATTTTAGAATCAGTTCTTATGTAGCATTCAAAAGCTGAGGAAGACCATCTTCCCATTATTTTGATAGCAGCTGTAGACGCTCCTCGCTCAGCTGCCGTGGTGGCTGCCCCGATCCGGAATGATTAACCAGTATAAAGGTATAAAATGAGCAGCAGCTTTTGAGGGCAGAGACCTGAGTCCTGAACTAGGCTTAGAAAGAAGTGCTCGTTTGTTAAGATAAATGAAGGGGAATTAAAGAAATCGATCATAGATTACAAGGGACATAATTGATTACTAATTTATAAATTAATAATGTGATACAGAGCCTTGAGTCATTCTTAAAAATTTAGTTCTAAAGAGTATTTAGCTTCTGGAG